CAAGTGTTTGATAATTTTCTCTGCATAAATTACAGCCCCCTTTTCAGACGTAGGAGCTCAAGTGATCCGCCAAGTTCAGTTCAAGAGAAACCCATGGAGACAGCTAACAGCTCAAGTGATCCCCCAAGTTCAGCTCAAGAGAAACCCAGGGAGACAGCAGACTCAGCAGTGACTTATAAGTATAATCACGGCCACAAGCCTGTGGTTCAGCGCTCTTGCGTGACTCGTGACAGCCACAGCCATCCTCCGCGTCTTATGGAAGAAGATGAGGATGAAGAGTTAACCGAGCCCATTTCAAACAATAGCGAAGAAGAAGATGATGAGGATGAAGAGTTAACCGAGCCCATTTCAAACAATAGCGAAGAAGAAGATGATGAGGATGAAGAGTTAACCGAGCCCATTTCAAAACATAGCGAGGAAGAAGATGATGAGAGGATGAAGAGTTAACCGAGCCCATTTCAAAACATAGCGAGGAAGAAGATGATGAGAGGATGAAGAGTTAACCGAGCCCATTTCAAAGAAATAGGCAATGAACCGTCAGCACTTGATTTACGGCTTATTTGTTGTTTTGGCAGCTTTTGTTTGAAGATCTTTTCACTCTTGACAAGTGTGTGGTTTGCAATTCTAGATTTCTATTACCGTTTTTGTTTTAAAAAAAAACAGTTCTAGAAAATGCATTATATTAAAATGCAGCAAATGAATGAAAGCAGCATGTTCTTTGCAACCCAAATCTGCCATCCTATTAGCTTATCTAGGCTCATTTAACTCAAAATTATATATAAGTAGCTTAATTGACCTGATCAGGGGATCAATTTGCTATGGAACCTGCCTCTCCCTGTTAAGAAACCGGATGATGATTCTGTTTTCTGATTCAAACACAGCCCCTGGTACATTTTGAGAAACAGTCATACCCATTTCTAATATATATGGTTTATCAACTCTCTTTACCAAAATTTCATCTTACATTCAACTTTGTGGATATGGTATAACAATTTTTACCCACAACCTATAGAGTTAAGAGGTTCTTCTAGTCAATATTGGCAGGGTAATGGCCGGGTAAGCCAAGAGTGAAGAACCCTTACCATGATGGCTAAGGTTGTATCAATCTTATTGTAAGGCATTTTTTTTTTTAAATTAAAAATATATATTAAAAAATTATCATTCAATCCAGACTGCAGAATAAACTATCATATATGATTCATATGATAATTTCCTTTGCTTATTTTTCTGGTCCGGACCAAAATGATATTCTTATTTTTACATGGGCACTTATTCATTATCTTGGGGGAGAACAGAAGGATACACACAAAAGGAAGAGAAACGGAGAGAGAGAGAGAGACAGACACACTATATGATTTTGTAATGCCAGCATTGAGACAAAACAACTATTCACAACTCACGACAGAAACTGCTCATCACTGATTCATTTTCGTCCATATATGAGAGGCAGTACTCTCCACCTACTACGTCGAACCTCAGTGAACCGAGTAGCGGAGGTTCCCTCACGCTCTCAAATGGCAAGCTCTCCAAATCATCCCACCACTCTAAACATTCCGGATCACTACCTGACCCGCTTCGTTCTATCCCAACCCCACCGTCCAGGCCCCGGGGCTGTTCAAGAGCCGCTTTAGCCGCCGCCATCTGTATATCTCTCCTAGAACACGACTGAGGACGGGGCAGCAATCCAGCAGAGTCCGGGAAGTTAAGACAAGCGGAGTTTCCCTTCAAGAAGAATGCGGCGGAGTCGTGGGCCCGTGCTGCCATCTCTGGAGACACGAAGGAACCGAGCCATATCCGAGTCTTTTGTCCCGGCAACCTTATCTCGGACACATAACGCCCCCACTTGCGCTTGCGCACCCCGTAGAAGGGCGCCGTCTCGCTATGACGAGTACGTTTCTTTGAGCCGTGCTTTAACTGATCAGAATGAGATTGGGGTCCTGATGATGATTGAGCTTGTGAGGGTTCCTGTCCGTTGTTGGTAGTAGACATGATCACATGAGCGTAGGGTGGTGTTTTTGTGTGTGTTAGCTAGCGCCTGCGTGAAGTGAATTGATGGGTTTGAATATAAATAAAGGAGAATAAGGGTGGAGTGGAGCGGGGTGGAGGGGTTTATAATATATGTTAACGCACAGATTTTGTTTTATATTTTTTCGAAAATAGGCAATTGATGTAAAGCACAGATTGGGTTTATTGGGGATGATGTAGAAAGTGAAGATAGCTGGCATATTGTTACATTTGGGATTTGGATTGACAAGGACACTGACATGTACAAGAAGGCATTTGATTTCCAAGAAATGACAATTTTCACCTACATTAATGATACTTATATTTAGTAGAATTTTTAAATTTGTAATTTTTTCTAGGTAAAAAATAAGGAAGTAGTAGAAGTTATTATATTATTTTTATTAAATTTATTAATTAAAAAATGAAAATTTTCTTCATCCAACTTAAAATTCAATTAGTACTAGCAAGTTGTTTATATCTATATGCTATTTTTTTTTTCTACTCAAATCTTTCCTTTTAAATTCTAAGAATTTGGAAATTATTAAGTATGTGCAAAAATAATTAAGAAGGAAAATGGATATTAGAGACAAATATCGAGGGATTAGATAGTAATTGTGAGGGTGGGGGGGTGATACGATAAAGATGAAATGATGAAGATCAATAATGAAACGCGGAAACCAGCTGTATAATGAATTTGAATTGGTGGCACGCAATGAGACTGAGATGTACAGTATGGAATAGTTGAATACACAGACTCAGAACGTGTTGACTTGACTCATCCTCTTCGTAGTACGCACCCATTGAAAGAAAATACAAGTTCTTGAGCCCTACGAAACCAAAGGTCAGTACAATTATGAATC